CACTATCATTGATATTAATTCATCTATTTATTTATTAATTCATCTGAGGTGCCAGAACGCAGTTCCGGACCGTTCCGGCCCACTTTAACCCCTGCTGATAACGACGGAACTTGCAACCATATTTGGCTAATGATGCTTTCGGGAAACGCACCCCAGGCCAGTGTGCACACGACGATGGCTAGCAGTAGTCCCATACTGGATTTCAATTAAGTCATTCAACTGTGCTTTTAGAGTTACAATTATCTTTACAAAGAGCCTTTGAGTCATCTTCCACCACAGGTGTAATCCACGTTTAAAGATTTGGGTCACTCTTTACTGTGTCTACAGTTTATATGTATGCCACTTTGGCATAGCGATTGATCACTTGAAGCTACAAGCTAAAAACCTGCTATCGCTCGTGATTGGCTAAAAGTGTGGGCTCATAAGCGACGTCAACACCAACGCCAGCTAACTCTGCAATTGGCATGTGTGTTTAGTAACGTCACAATGACTGATTGGATGGAGTACATGGACACTTGGATTTTGTTTGTTAACCAATTATCCTATAAAATTTCAAGCACGAGCAATAATTTGCTGGCTGCAGTTCACATAACAGCCTCTGGTGTTGCTCATAACAAGGGTGTCTGAATTCTACATATAGCCCCTTTAAATGGAATGAAAGATATGGAATGTACTGCATGTTAGCTTGCTTGATCTATGTAAGTTCGCATATCATACTGACAAGAAACTATGCTTCTAACCACGGGACGAGAGCTGTAATTCCAATCACACTTTTTTGCGATGCGGTTTGCGAATGTACATTGGAACTATGGTTTTGAGAAACACCGAATCTTTGATTTATGTTGGTAACGACAGAACTTGCGACCACAGTTGGCTAATGATTGGGAAACTCACCCCTGGATGGTTGGCCAGTTCATCACAGATCTATCATCACATTGCAAATGAGCATGTTACTGTATTGCATCCCACATTGACATCAAAAAGACATTCAGTTCTTGCAGACTTGTTATGAACTTGGGAGAACTCCATGATAAACTGCTCCAGTGATGTTCACACTGATATACAATCCGGAAAGCAACCAAAAAGCAATAATTTTGTTAGTTGTTTAAACAGGAGTCCCATTACTAAAACACTCATGTGTTCTCAAACTAGTTTCTCTAACGTTTTAAAATCATTAACTGCAAGTCTTATTGATTAACCATGTCTGACTATGCACAGTTCTTACCAGATGTAGGCAGAGCCGGACAGTAACGGAGTACATTTACTTGAGTACAGTACTTAAGTACAATTTTGAGGGATCTGTACTTTACTCGAGTATCATTTTTGGGGAGTACTCATGACTTTACTCAAGTACATTTGAGAGGCAAATATTGTACTCTTTACTCCAATACATTTCTATCCATAACCGTGAGTACACGAGTAAAAAAAAAAAAAAAAAATCTCGGAAACCCTCAATTTGTTGTTTCCCTCTCAAACGTGATTGGATTGTGCAGGCCCCACTGATTGTGACAGCCTATCAGCAATCACTTTCAGCTTTCCGCCAAAGTCAACTCCATGGTCAGATTTTATATTACACATTAATGTAAGCCAAGCATTTGGTTTGATGTTCTTGAGTATGTGGTGTGTTTAACACAGTCAGGTTCAAATGTGGCAGTGGCGTAGCCACGAGGGATTTCTGATTTCTTAAAAAAAAAAACTTTAGGAGGCAAAATATATTTTTACTGATTATGTGAATTACACTGCGCAAACCAAAGTAGGCTACTACCCAGCGAATGAAGAAGGGTTGGCGCTCAGTCTCCAGAGTACATAAAATATTCATTTTGTTTTATTTTATTTTTCCGGTTTGCATTTATGAGGAAAAAAACAATGTTATGGACGTGTTCTCCGTTACGGACGTGAGCGCTCTGAAAGCGGCATAAAAAATGCTTTAAAACTTTCACAGAGACCTCAAACAGAAAACACAAAACCTTTCTTTAACCTGAATTTCGTTTTGATTTAATTGTATCTTAATTTTAATCAATGTTTCATCAACCAATTGCCTGGGTTTAATAAATAAGAAGTAAATAGCAGACGATAGATAAGAAACGGAGGCGCCGGCCTGTGAACTGGATCTCGTCTCATAAATGAACCGAAACTGAGTGTATAAGGTAGCCTACTTGCCTCTCACAGACATGTCTACTTTTAAACAGAAAAAATCAAAACGAAAGAAAACAGACTACAGACTGCTCTCTGCTTATGTAATCCGTATGAAATGTGCATTTCTCTCTGGCGCGTTCACTACTGAAGATCGCGAGTCAGCATCGTCAACTTCATCTAGCCGACACTGACAAAGAAAACACTTGTTTATTAACAAGTGTTTATTAATAAACAATTAAAATATCTCCTTGCTATATTTTACATATTCATAATCATTCCTTTTGCCGGTTCTTTGTGACAGCTTTTAGGTGCTTTATTGGCAGCGCCACCCTTACATGTGGTGTGTGTGTGTGTGTGTGTGTGTGTGTTGTCCCCGCATTTAAAGATGGGACCCCCCAAAAATGTAATTAAATTAAATAAAGCAACATGGTAAAAAGATGAAAATGACTTGATTTTACTTTCAATTCCTTTTACATTCTCCAAGGTATTAACATTAACATTTTTCATAACTCCATGTAGGACGTTTCTGTGCATTAATGTAAGCACTGTGGCAGTAGATTAGTAATGCAATATTTAGAAAATCTACTCTTGTACTCTTGATACTCAAGTACTTTTAAAAACAAGTACTTTAGTACTTTTACTTAAGTAGACATCTGAATGTAGTACTTTTACTTGTACTTGAGTAAAATTTAGCGTACTTTTACTCAAGTAACAAAGCTCTGTACTCTGTCCGCCTCTGGATGTAGGCTACTCTTACCAGATGCAAGCTCTTATTTTCTCCAATGACTCGAACATCTGAATGCTCAGTCACCAGATGAAGAAATATTTCTGAGTTTTGGAAAGTGTGGGGCCCAACAGACGTCAATGGGACGTCAAAATGATACAGGAAATCCTTTGAATAAACCTCAGGGTAAAAAAGGATTTTGGAAAAGAAACCCAACTCCTGTAATAATTACAAAGAACTGAGCTGCAAACTTGTGCACGGCATACTGAAGCAACAAACTGAAACTTCTCAAAGGTGAAGGTGAAAGTGCATTATTGACTCAAAATGATATAAACAATACCAGTGAAAACAGATTTTGTATTATTATTAATTTTTTTGCATGATTTTGGCACATGGAAACCTAAAAATATTTTAGCATAGTTATCTTAAATGTTTTGTTATTTTGTTCTTTCGTAGTCTGAAACACTATACACATCTTTAGATGTTTCAGGCTACAGAAAAATACAGCATTTAAGAAATTAATAGATTATATATAGTGTGTGTATATTTAAAAGGCTATTAAACCATGATGAAGTTTAATCATTGTTAGTGCTGTAACTGACACTGATAATGTTGGCCAATATTCGGATAATGATCATACTGTGCACTATGACTTTGCAAAATATTTTTTATAAACAAACACTGAAATAACATAATAAAAACAAATAAAATATAATGTAGTATAATTACAGGCCAAGGGAGAAACTATTTTGTTTTAATACAAAGTAACATTTAATTGTAAATGTATTTAAAAATTGGATAACAGCAATACAACTTTTTTCCAATTTATACAACACTGATTTAACCTCTGCCCTGATTGTTGTCCTGGCCTATTTTTTCTTTTCCCTTTACCATCTTTGTTCTCCTTCATTGGATACATTAGAAATGTATGCTTTATAGCTAATATTATAGTGAATGGGTCAGCAAAATAGAAATAACGCATATGATATCTTAAAAGCTAATTTAACACATGGTCTTAATTTTCTAGACTGAACTAGTTAGAATTGCACTGTCATGGCCAAATATGAATAGAAATTACTTTTAGTAATGGAACAATACTGTATAGACACTTATAATTATGAATAAGCCTACATTGAAAAATAAAAATCTAGTGTTGGATTTACTTTGAAACAGTTTTCACTCAAGAATTGTTAGTAAATTTCAAAAATAATTACAAAGAAATGGCAAGTTATGCATTCAATCAAAAAGACTGAAATAGTATTTTCTTGTAAAACATTCTTTAAAACCATACCGTGTATGTGTCCTGCATCTCAAAATCACAAACTATCACATAAAAATCTTTTTGTTGTTTTTTACTCTTTTCATATTCACAGTACAAGCTTACTATTTTTGTTTAAGATTAGAAGCAATACAACATATGGTGCACTTGAGATAACATAAAAAAAACCATGTAGCCTATGTATGTTATTATTATCATTATTATTATTATTAAAGGGATGTCATTTTTAACATTAATTAAAATTGCAGACGAATGTTTGCACAGAAATAATGCTACGTCTGACGGTACGTCATTTCGTAGTTTATACATTTATATAAATATGCATTTTTGGAGGGGGAAAACATCGTTCCTGCAAGAGTAGTTTGTCTACGCTGTACCAAAACGAAAAACAGATTTGTCCTCAACCACAAAACACACACGAGCTTCCTCGTGCGCGCTCTCTCTCTCGCTCTCTCTCTCTCTCTCTCTCTCTCTCTCTCTCTCTCTCTCTCTCTCTCTCTCTCTCTCTCTCTCTCTCTCTCTCTCTCTCTCTCTCTCTCTCTCTCTCTCTCTCTCTCGCGCTCTCTCTCTCTCTCTCTCTCTCTCTCTCTCTCACACACACACACACACACACACACTCATTGACGCGTGCTGACGTCAGAGCGCGTCAGTCCGCAGCAGCAAACGGTTGTTTTCTCCAGTTCTGCTGCCTGCCTTGTCACAATATGCAGTCGTTTATGGCTCCTGACAGCGTTGTTTTTACGCACAAACAATATTACGTGTGTTCAAGTAGTACTCACTGTGACTGTGACATCTAGAAGTCAAAGAAACAAACCCGAACTGTATGTACTGAGAAGGACCCGAAATGCACCAAGATGTCTTTATAGCGAAGAATGGCCTCTAGTGGAAGCACTTAAAAGCACCCATATGTCCTTAAACGCTGCTTTTTATATTAATTCCCTAACGTCCTGCCTCGACACTATAACATAAGAGGATGTCCAACCCTGAGAAATGACGCCCCCATTCCCCCCCGAGCAGTGGGAAAGCACACTACAGCAGTCCGGAGCAGAGCAGCTGCGCCAGAGTGCGGCGAGCCGGGGAGGAGATACGCCAACGCCGTTCTCCGGCTCCACTCGAGACGAGCCCTCTTCGCCTCTTGCCTTCATTTTTCAACATTATTCTAAGAGGAGTGGACGGGGCGAGTTTACATACTGGACATAGATACATCCGATACATGTGCGTACGGGGCGCGTAAAACACGGCGTTCTATAGCGTCTTTTAGAGTTGACGCGCTTTGATGTCATCCGGCGTCTCAGGGTCGGATCGTTTCATTTATAGCAGCGGGTCGACATTAAACTAGACACATATCATATCAAGAGTTATCATTACTCGCTTGCGGTCAGACATGGAAGATGGTCCGCCTTCCACAAGCTGTTTCCGAAGATTTACGGACTGTTTCATTGGCTCAAGTAGGTATACTTTTTTATTTTCCTGGCGTATTAGTAACTAAGGGTGTTGTAAAATGTAACGTTTATGTTGCGTTCTTACACTGCGTTGCAGCTGCATACTGGGAAACTTTTGGTTTGCTTAATTTCCAACGTGAAGTTTGGGTGGCAATATTTGCGCAGCGGGTGCAAGATAGTGTGAATGATTATGTCCATTACAGTTTAGTTGTTTAGATAAGTGTCTGTCATCACCTGTTATGTGTGTTTACATTAAGTTTTTAGTGCAGTAGCTGGGGTGGGCCATACATGTGGAAGAGGGTGATGTCTCATCCTTTGAGTTAAATAAGTGTGGCCCTAAACTTGTTTTTGTGATTTCCTCTCTCATTTAAAATGCACAGAGAATGTTAATTAGCCAGTGTCATTTTTTTGGAACAATCTAATGCAGGACAAGCCAAGAAATGCAGAGACTAAACAGGGGTGTTTAATATTAGTCTTTGATTAGTTTCACATGCAGAGAAATTATTGGAATTATTTCCCACAGTGCATAGCAGCTCAAAGTGTGCGTGTAGGACAACAGTGTGGAGATGTCGTTGTGGTGACCTCCTCTGATGAATATCATGACAGAATTAGTATTGAACCAGTTGACTTGAGAGAGCAAAAGCTGCGTGTGACGTGGTACTAATGACAGACAGGTAAGCACGAATGTCACAGGTTTTACTGAAATGCCGGCTTATGATGTTTTCTCATAATAGGCAAGGATTATTTCATTGCAGTCTCGGAGGATACATTACATACAAAATGAATACTATTCATACTTTAGAGCATTTTCCTGCAATAGGCATAAAAGGCCAGAATAATAAATCTTATGGTACTACGTTTTCTATGCAACTTTACTTGTAGTGTGTTGACTTAGCCACAGTGTCAGGCCATTTTTTTTGCATCAAAAAAATATTTATTATTCATGCTATTAATTTATTATTATTATTTTTAATCACTCAGTTTGCCATTTGAGCTAATTTGTGAAGAGGTGTTTCTCTTGGCCAAGGAGATTTCTCCGTTATTGATGGATATTGATACAATAATATATGTACGTTCCATCCAATAAGAGGTAAAAAAAAAAAGAATGTATGTAAAATCAGCATTCTTTCACTAGTAGACTAGTGTAAACTAAGTCTTAAACTACTAGTTTTTAATACGAAAAACTCAGTCCAACAGTCTTAACCGGTTTTGCTTCAGGATCTAGATTTCTTATTGTAAATCAAGTGTTGGAGAATTGTTTGGTGTACAAAAGTGATTAAAAAAACACATTGACCTTAATGCTACAGAACCTTAAACCGCACAGGCGCATCAATATGCAGAAACATTAACAAGACATAGGCTTAATAGGAACACTGATATTTTAGTTTTACTTTGTCATTAAAAATATGTCTCATGAATTACGATGGTTTCGTGTTGTCGGCAGATCGTAGTTCACAGCATAACACATTGTGGTCTGCACAAACCATGTTTATCCACGGTGTAAGTGAAACAGTATTTAATGTAGTCTAGGTCATATTTTCCATGTACTTTGTTCATGGTTTTCAAGCATGTCATGCAAAGTGCAGTATCTGCCTAATTTGACTAGATTACAAGTGAGAGATTAATTTGCATCAAAATATTGTATTGATTTTGATTGGACCTTTGACACCAACAAGAAAAGATGTGGGAATCCTAATTTTTTTCTCTGTGCTAATATACAGGCAATTTAGTTTTATTATCAGTTTTCTACATATTTTAATGAGCACTTTTGTTTCTATTAGACAGGATAGTCTAGACTAGTGTTGCCAACTCTCGCAAGACAAATAAGCCACCGCAGTATCAAACAAGCCCAATATGATTTATTATCAATTATTTATTATCAATAAAAGAGCCTGCAACATATTAAACTAAAACCACTCTGAGTTTGAAAAGCAAAAACAAAAGTTATTTTACAAAAATCATAAAATTGCAACGAAGCGGGATGGCGCGCACTATCCTCCGATCACCTGTGAGCAGAATAGGTTTGGCCTGTGATGATTAATAAACATACATTATAAATATATATTTTTTTAAATCTCGTCTGTTGATGGCATTGTTTGTGAAAATGTAGGCTGCGCTGCATACATCTATTTAAGTCTACTAACTATCATTTCTTGCATTTACATAACAACGTCACATGCCTGCACATTGAACACAATTTTTCTCCAATGAGGGGGAGGGGCTAATACAGCACTTGTATTATTGCACTGATTGGCTATTAGCTGTGAGCAGACAGTGTCAATCAATGTGTTGGAGAAAACAGCGACCATAAATGCCAAGAAATTTCAGATTTTTCTAACAAGCAAGCAACCATATTTTTCAAAATAAGCCCCCCAAAAAAACCCAACTCATGCCCCTTGATTTTTCACGTGACTTACCAAAAACGAAGCCAAAGTGGAGAGAAACGAGAGAAAGGGGGGATGAGACTGGGACATGATGACACAGGCCGCATGGTTTAGCTGTTTAACTAAATATTAATGGAGACTCCCAGCAAAACATTCCGAATCAATATCAATCAGGAATAATGGAATATAAAGAATCATTCTGTTGAAAATATATAATTATTTTACATTAGTGTTATTGCAGTATGCTCAGCGGTGCGACTCCAGGAGTAGAGCAGTGTGGTGGTGAAGGGATCTTGCGGCTGGTGTGTCATTGCATCTCTCAGAGACAGTGCTGAGTCTGGGCTTCTTGCTGCTGTCTGTAAGGCTGCTGATATCAGCAAATCACCACATGTAAACAATGAAAATTCAACATTGATTTCTACTTAACATTTTTGTTTTTTGAAATTTTGAATTTCTGGATTCTTATCATGCAAGTCTCATGAAATCACATAAACCGATATTTAAATTGATTCTGACTAGTCACACTAGAGTTGATTCACAACTTTAGACATTAACTAACAACGAACAATACATTTGATACATTATTTATTAATCTTTGTTAATGTTAGTTAATAAATATAACTTCACTGTTAGTTCATGTTCATTTTAATAATATTAACAGATATAACTTTTGATTTTAATGATCTATTATTAAATGTTGAAATGAACTAAGATTTGAGCACATGTTTTAGAAGTGTTTTTTTAGTGTTAGTTCACGTTAACTAATGTTATCAAATAGAACCTTAAATCCTGCATTATATCTGAAAACATTTTATAACCAGGTGCACTGTATAGTAACATTAAATATCGTTACAGCCATATATTCTGTGTTGGTAGTCAAACTCCAGCGAACAACACTTTTGTGCTGAGGAAACACACACTTACGACACATGTATCCGAACGCAACGCTGAACAGGTAGAGGTGAACGAACAGAGCTGAAACGGTCTTTCGTGACCTTTGAATTCTCCGTTGTAATGCGATCTCATGCATAATACAGCGCAGTGATTGGATTAAAACCGTTCATTCTCATGAATAAATGCAGAGAAAAGCTCAGAAACTGATGACATATACGCACACTTGCAGCCAATCATCACTCCAGGTTAACTTTTCGTGACGTTGATTCAACATTGCTTTTTAAACCGGAAGAACGAAATAGCTGAAAAACAAAAAAAAAGATTCACTTTTCTCTTAATAATAAACATAATGAGTGCTTTTGTTGTTTTCATTGCAACCTGTACTGTAAACATCTCAAAAATGTGTTTTCAAATAATATGCTTAGTACATCCAAACAAACACAAAGCATGTTATTTAATTTGTACCCAAATTTATTTTGGCAGTTGAGTAAGATGTTATCTCACTGATTAGATTGTAAAGTTGTTCAGTCTTACGATGGCTTTTTTTATCAGAATGTCATGTTACCGGTGGTTTCGGTGTTGTTTTATATCAGCTCTGCCCTAGTGTGTGTGATGGACCTCTGAACAGAGGCCGTTTTTGAGGCTATTCCAGGTCAACACTAATATGATCTGACAGGCCATCTACAGAAAGCTTAACTCAATGAAGAACGCTGCATTGTCATGCAGGAAACGCTCATCGAAGACACTTCCTCCCCCAGCTGGATGTCATTTAATCATCCCGGTGAATTCCCTCCTCAAGCGGCCTTTCACTAAATACAAGTCAATGAAACGGCCTCACGTGATATACATTCAGCACTCTGCCAGACGTACAAAATGCCAAGTCGCACTTGAAGATCTCATTAAAAAGTCCAACTGGACAATTACAACGTTTTCAAATGTATCTTTTCTTTCTTGGTTCACTGTGTGGAGGCAGCGAGACATTAACATGTTTGAATCCAATGTTTGCAAAATGTCCTGTCTACTGTTCTGCCTTCATCAATCATTTTTGAAGGCAGTACAAATGTGTTCTTGCTGCCTATGATATCCCACAATCCTGTTCATGCTGTTCGCTTGATGGTGGAAAGAATAAAAATGGTGTCTGATGGAACAGTTGAAAAAGGTTCTAATGGTTTTATCATTAAAGCAACACATTAGATCATTATATGTGGAATCGGAAGTTTCCAGGACGTGCCTTCATTCACAAACAATGCCACTGACTTCAGTTTTGGCAAGCCTATTAGTCATGGCATATATTGGCATGTGGGTGATGCAAGTTTGTGTCTGGCCCGTGGACTTGTAGTACTTCTAATCTTAATTTTTTTTTTTAAATGTACTTGCAGATAACACTAAAGTACACTTTTGAAAAGTGCACTTTGTAATAATGTCAAATTACAAATTTTACTTTAAAGTAGATTTGAAATCATGGTTTAAAAAAATTACAGTTATTTTGATGTTGACGTAAAGTACCTGGTTTTAAATTAACTGTAGTGTGTTATGTGATATTGCGTTTAAAGTTAATGTATTTTAATGTATGCAACTTGCCATTACACATGTGTTTTATATATATATATATATATATATAAACATAAACACAGGACATAAGTTTCAATGGAAATGACATTACAGTATTTTTCATACACAGTGCACTTTTCACAGTATTTTTCATATACAGTGCACTTTAACCATATT